GACAGACACGGTAAGCTTCAAAGTCTGATATTTTGCAGCATTATTCTTTCCATCAAAAGGTATTGCCAAATTCATAATACAACTAAGAAGCAATAGGATATGAGGGGCCTTGCTTTATATCTCTTCAAGAAAATATACTTTAAAGTATGGCAGCTAGAAGGCCTTTCAAGAAAACAATCTCCAAACATCTTGGTCTTAGCCATCAAATCTAAATGGATTTGTCCTGTATCATGTAATTTAACATCACAGTTTTGCCATTCATATCTTTACTCAACAACCTCGCACACTACACACTCACTATGAGGCATAGTTTTGGGGAGAGAACTCAAAGGCTGGGTAACACAAATGTCATTTCTGCCTTGAAGTTGCTTCTACTGTAGGACCCAGGAATGAGATCAGGTGAAACAGTGGACAGGAAGGGAAATGGGTCAGAAGGTATACCCCAAACTTAGCACTTGGAAATTTCCAGTCTTGCTTGCTCTGATGCATCAAGTTTTCTTATATGCTCTCTGCTCTGTCTTCAGTGCTCAGGTAGTCTGTCATTGGAGACTGTTCCTTATTTATTTATTTTTTGAGACAGGGTCTCTTTATAGCCCCAGCTGGCCTGGAACTCACTGTTATAGGCTGGCCACAATCTTACAGAGATTCACCAGCCTCTTCCTCCTGAGTGCTGGCATTAAAGTGTGTGCCACCACATCTGGCTTTATTCCACATTTATAACCTGAAGTATGGGACTGGAGGTGTAGGTTGGTGGTAGAACTCTTTCCTAGCATACACATGGCTTGGAGTTTGAATCCCAGTACTTAAAAATAAAGAAATAAGTAAATATATAAATGTATGTTAGGTGTGGTTAGTTGGAGTCAGCACAACTGCATTTCCAGCACTTGAGAGGCAGAAGCCAGGAGGATCAGGAGTTCTAGGTCATTCTTGGCTATATTTCAGGTCTAAGGTCAGGGTGGACTACATGAGAGTCAATCTCAACCCACCCCTCAAAAAAAAAAAAAAAAAAAAAAAACAAAAAAAACAAAAAAAAAA